GATGGGGGCGGTGGGTGAGCCGAGTCCACGCGTGCTGTGCGTGGGTTTTGGGTGGAAGTACCTCAGATCAGCAGAAGAGGAGCGATAGCTCCAGGCTGTCGTTGGTCAGATAGGAGCCGAGGGCGGGTGGGTTGCAGTGAGCGCGGTCGGCCCTAGGGGTGCCGAACCGGAGCCTGCGCGGTGCCGGTTGCTCGTCCCGGCGCCCCGCCGCTCAAGGCAGGCTGCAGCCGGGGTGGGGGGTGAAAGGGGCCGGGCTGGAGCTGGAGTCGGAGGGTTCCTCGGCTTATGTGGGAGGCCTTGCCAAGCCTGGGGGCTAACCAGGGAAAGCAGTATACAGAGAAGAAATTAGCGTGTAAAACTGTTGATTTCTACACAACTGCGGTTTTATTGTCCTCGTTCCAAGTGCTTTATTTGAAAATATTACTAAGGTAAAGTTTGATCCTATGCTTGGATGCAGGTACCTGTCAGTTGCAGGCACTGGCAGCTGTCAGAAGGTGGCTCCAAATCACACTTTATTTAGGTACTGGTATGTGGCTTTTACCTGTTAATTTCTGTCATTTATAAAACCATAACCTTTGGAAAAGCTGTGTTTGCTTAGTATAAACTTTCATCCTAGGAAAGGATGTTTTTTGGCCCCACACCCTTTCTCTAAGCTATTTTGTTCTACTCCTTTATATAGTTCTTTATATGCTGCATAGTCCCCATAATGCAGGTAAAACATTTATCCACAGAGCCACTTGAATGGTACTGTGAAACTATGTGGTGTAAAAGCACATAACCACACAAATATTTTAAAATCAAAAAGTTTTGGGGATGGATGGAAAAAACCCAACAAACTTAATCTGTTTTATTTGCAGGAAATTGCTGTATATAAATCTACTTCAGCTTTTTGATAAGCAGACATGGTGAGAACAATAGCACTTTTTACATATTTTCATTCTTTCTGAAATGGTCATCTCTTAGAAAGTGAATGGCTGCTTAGCATCTCAAAAGGGTTACGCGTTTGACTGATGCTGTGAAGAATTTGTAATTAAAAGTTGCGGTTTTCACTTCAGACCTAACAAGTTATTGTGAAAAGGAAAATAGGTTAATTTCCATCAGCCTAAAATATATTAGACTTTCGGTTCTAAGACCCTAAATTTTAATCCTACTTTGGCTAATATTTGGTAATCTAGTTTGGTTTCTTTTGCCACAGAAGCATTATTCAGGTTGCAAGCACATAGCCCTACTTGAGTGTATGTAACCTTCTACACTTACAGGCTTTTAAAAGTTTAGCAGATCAGGAAATAGAGGTTAGACTGTGTGTCTGTGTGTGTACATATACCTGTTATAGCCTCTTCATGGACATTGCAGGCAACGGTCTTCTCTTCTTTACTTGTGTACTTCTGAAACAGTATGCCAGTATCAACATGATGCTGATTTTTATTAGTTTTCCTGTACACTTATCCCCACAGTAATTATGTTTGCGTAGTTTAGGACTTTCCATGGGAGCACTGTGGTATATTTGGCCTAGAGAGATATATTTGCTTAGGGGACTGGGTGACTGCGATTTTAAATTTTATGAAGGTTATTTATAAATTCTTAAGAAAAGTGTGTAGTTTCATAGATTTGCTTGTTTGTGAAGGCAGATTATATACAGTGCCATTCAGAACTAGCCATATCACTCAAAAGGCTGCAGGTGAGTAACACACATCAGTTGTTCCTCTGGCTGTAAACCAGTGAGGTTTGTGCACCACACTATCATCTGAAATAGATACAATTTTAATTCTTGAACTTTGCAATTAAGTGGCTGAGTAGGTCCAGTTTGCAAATTAATAATGTGTCTCTGGAGTGGAACAGCATGAAACGGAGCTTCTGCATTACTGTGGCAAACTTGATTTGTCCTGAAACTAAGTGAAACCCAGTGCTTTCTGGTGGTTTCACTGGAAATGTGGAAGGTTTGTGTCAGTAGCCTTGCTTATGGACAAATATTGAAAGAGTGGTTATATGCAGTGGGAAATTGCTTATGTTCTAGGAAATAAAACCAAGTCTGTTAGTATTTAATTGCCAATTTAATTATTCTTTTCTGCCTCTTGCTCAGGCTGTCACGCTGCATACTGATGTAGGAGATATTAAAATTGAACTGTTCTGTGAGCGTACACCAAAGACTTGTGAAGTGAGTAACTGGGGTAGGATTGCCCAGTGTTGAAACAAAGTAGAAATAGTGAAGACTATACAGGAGGTGAAGTGGCTTTTGCAATTAATCTTTTCACTTAATGGAATGTTAACATTTTAAGCTGGTACAATGCCTGTTGAATCTTGTGCACTGTGTCATACTGCCTAGAGCCTGTTTAGCTAAGGGCTGCTTCTGTCCAAGTCCCAGCATCTCCCAAAGTGCCCTTTGCCCTTAAGGGGAAATACGGCACATGGCCTGGGATTTCTGAATTTCCTGAGGTTTGCTCACACTTGCACAGATTTGATTTTCATTTAAGAGTGAGAATCGCTCCCAGTTTGTCAGAAGTCCCAGGTTTTCCTTTCTGCAATAAATTTAAGCTTAAATTGAAATAATTTACTTTTTAACTAACAAAGCTGAGGCATGAAGTTATTGCTGACAAAATTACATTTATAAAATAAAAATGTTGAATGGAAGTGATACTTTTGAGCATGTCTTGGGCTTCTTGTTTGTTCCTTGAGTCAGACAACCTTGTGCTATAGGCTTTATTTAAAATCCTTCGTATCTGTGACAGTGTCAAAGGAGTGTGTTAACTATAATTTGTTTATGATTATTCTGTGTCAGTACTCTGTGGAATTCATGTGGTCACAATGCAAAGCAGAGGCAAAAGGGTTAGTCTTGGTCTTGCCAATGCTGTCATTTTAGTAAGAGGATGCTATTTCTGAATTGTTTGCTAATATGATTTGTTTAATTTCCTTAGAACTTCCTGGCTCTTTGTGCTAGTAACTACTACAATGGATGCGTATTTCACCGGAACATAAAGGGCTTCATGGTTCAGACAGGAGATCCGTTAGGTAAATTCTTCTGTCCATGTGTCTCTATAGAAAAATGTACATAAAAATAAAATAGAAATAAAAATAAAAGTATGAATTTTAAAACCAAAATGTAAATAGAATGAAAATAAGATACAAGAATTATTGTGTTGTTGATAGAGGTTTTTATGATGAGATTAGTTTTCTGTGGTGACCTTACAGAAGAGCAGCTGTTACCCTAGTTCTAAATAATCGTGCGGTAGTAAAGCATTCTACAAACTTTAGTTTTTCCAGCTGTTTCTCCTAATACAATGGTTCTGCTGACTTACCACCTGTTGAACAGGTAGCAGTTGCTACTGTGGTTTCTCTGGTTTCTGTCTGAAAGGCTACGCTGTCTCTAAAGCATTTGGAGAAAATGTCCCAGACTGTATCAGCTGTTTGGGAGAAAATATGATTCAGCTGTGTGTCTGTTTGTACACATACTGAATTTAATTTGAGAATATGTCAGTGTTTTGTTCTGCTTCTTAACAGGTGTTCCTTATATAGAGTTATGTCTCTGCTCAGTATCAAGACATGAGAACCTGATCCCTGCCTCAAACGAATTACAGGCTATATAGGGTCTTTGTTTGTACTGAAAATCCAGTAATCTATTGTGTTGTTTCTTTGTCAGGCACGGGAAAAGGAGGTAACAGTATCTGGGGCAAGAAGTTTGAAGATGAATTCAGTGAATACTTAAAGGTATTTCTGTACTCTCAATATACAGTTATGTTTTCATATGAATATTCTTTACAGGTTGGAGAACAATCAGCATTGTGTTGTACTGTATTAAATACCTCTTTTGTAATTGTGAAGCAAAGTATAATCCCACAATAAAGGGATAGAAAGCTTATTATTAAAATAGGAACAGGCATTTCTGTATTTGGCAAGTTAGGTTTGAGAGTTTTAATCACTTAGAACAGAAGTAGAAAGAATTTGTAACAAAGTAGTTTTCGCGCACTGAAGGCAAAGAAGTAATTTTTTGTTGTAAGAGCAGTTTTGAGGAGCTAATTATGGACTGTGATGGAATGTATTAGCAATGAAGATTTGCTCTTAATAATGGTATTGAAGCACAATACTAATTCACAGAGCACTTTGTCCAGGTTAAAGCCCAGCTTTCACAGATGTGTATTCATGTTGACCATTTTGCCCTCTTTCAGCACAGTGTCCGTGGGGTAGTTTCAATGGCAAACAATGGTCCGAATACCAATGGATCGCAGTTCTTCATCACTTATGGCAAGCAACCACACCTAGACATGAAGTACACTGTGTTTGGAAAGTAAGTGATCCAACTGCCTGCCTCTTTATCATAGTGTGTGAAGGATCTGAATATTTCAGGGCACATGCAATGCAAATTTAGAAGCTTCTGATTCTAAAACTCTTTAAAATATTGGATGTGTATATGCAAATGTATGCTCTTGCACTGTCACCAGAATTAGTTGCTCCAAAAATGCTGCTCCCTTTTTCTTAGTAGTAGAGAATTCAGTGGAAATAGACATATTAAAAATTACCTCAAGAATGGAGGGTTTTTTCTTCCCCCCTGCCCCTAGTTATTGCCTTTTCATTCATGCCCAAATGGACGCAGCATGATTTTAAGCAAACTCCAGAGCAACTGGATGCACAGTTGTAAGGTTTACTGAGAAGCAAGAATGCGATTTTGGACTGGATCTGGGGATGGGTGTGGTACCAACATGGTCATTCTTCTGTTTGAGTGGAATTTCCTGTTGGTCAGATAAAACTCATGGAACTGACAGTTTATAAAATCAGATGAGGTTGTTTAAGATGCATCATTATTTTTAAATGTTTTTATGTTAATAGACATTACTGGTAATGTATCATCCTGAAAGCAAGTATTTAATTTTTGAGTCTTTCAGATACTGCTTTTTCTATCTCAAAATTGTGGTAATATCTTTTCTTTTGCTTGTTGTTAAAAGGTCTCTAGAGTACAAGTGAATCTGCTGAGAAAAAATTGCCTTTATTAAATTGAGTTAAATATTCAAAGGAAACTATTGAAATGTGAAAATACTATTCTGTACTTCTAGGTCGTTTAGAAGTGTGATTGAAGTTTTTAGACATCTTTCTTAGAAAAGAGTAGAGGCTCTGACAGATGAACTTTGCCAGATTTTCTGTCAGTTTAAGATACTCCTGCCCCAGTTGCAGAATCAGCAGAACAGCATATGCAGTCCCTGCTGGCCCACAATCCAGCATCCTAGATTCAAAGAGTTGACAAATGTGACTGAATTGAACTGCAGACAGCACGATGTGTTTTCTGCCAAGGCCGTGACTGGGGAATAAACTGCCAAGATTTACCAGAGCTAGTTATTTCAACAAAAAAGTAAGAGGTTTATTAGAACGATCTCTCTTCCGCTTCTTCAGCCTGAACAAAAAATCTGAAAGCCTGAACATACTTGTGCTATTAGATTTACACAGTTATTAATGGTTCTGTCCAGTCTTGTCTTTGAGTCAGAAGGTCAGAAATTATAATCTCACATTTGGAAGATCTCTGATTTTCCAGTCGTAGGATTTCAGTAATCCACAGTGAAGTTTGGAACGGCCAGTATCTTGCCGCGACTTAAACGTGTATTATGATTGGTCAGTTCCGCCTGCCGGGAAGTGCAGCCCGGCTCTCTGTACAGCTATCGTTGGTATAAAATATGATACTGTCAGGTCAATGGGAATTATTTGTACTTTTTATCAGAATCTGTCATGGATGCTTAATATTTCCTTGTAAAATAAGTTATGTGCTGAATGTAATGTTTTGGTTGTCTTATTTGTATCATTTGCTTGCAAAGTCCTTAACCTATGATACTTAATTGTAAAGTGCTCTGAGATCTCAGTTGTGAAATTTAAGTCGTTATTAGGAGGCAATTCCTAGAACTTCTGCATTTTTTCCAGAGTTATTGATGGCTTGGAGACCCTGGATGAGCTGGAGAAGCTGCCTGTGAATGAGAAAACCTACCGACCTCTTAATGATGTTCGCATTAAAGATATTACAATTCATGCCAACCCTTTTGCCCTGTAGCCACAGAGTGCCTCGACACATTCTTTAGAGACTATTCAACTGCTGGATTATGGGGTTTAAAGTGTCATTAAAAAGGATTAATTGAGCTGGATCATACCTTTGCTCATTGAATGCGGGATTTTCAGCAGTTGTGACATTGTGTGGGAGTTGTCACAGAGGAGTCTTATGCTTTAGAAGTCAGTTTTTCCAGGAATTTTATTTTTTTTAATACTTGTAAAGTAAGAAAATAGTTTTTAAATATATTTTGTTTTGCTAATCTTTGTTTTCTGCCTTATCTTTCTTAGTGATACTATGTTGAAACAATGTCCTTTGCTACAATTTCATACTGCCACTTTTCTGAAACTCTCATGTAAATTGTAACCTTCCTTACTTTACTGGTTTTCAGAAAACTGAGTAAGATGCAATTTTTTCCCCTAGGTGAAAGCAGTGTCATAGATGAAACCTTTCTGTCCTAGGGGATTAAAGGGCATGTTTCAAGGAGTGCTTGCTCTTGTACTGCTGTGTTGGAACAGTAACCTCTTCAGCCTCCCCAAAAGCTAGATTAGAAACAATCACTTCTGCCTCTGGCACAACACTTTTGATACGAAAGAGTCAGTGTTTGTGTCTTTACGTAGCTGTTGATCGAAACTGGGTAACCATGGATTTACTGTAACTTGTTTTTCATCAGTTTATTGCACAAACAATAGCAGGTAAACACAACAAAGAGGAGTGACAAAAAGACTGTGGTCAGACTTCTAATCAAGAATATCCTGATACACCCAAAATAATACAAGATGGCCAAGATGATGTTGAACAAATGAGAAAGAACTGTTGTTTGGTCTTATTTGAGACCAAATGTTGTTGGACTCAAATAAGAAAGTCTGCAAGAAGGTACAGAGATACCTGAATATTGACTGGTCAAGAGGAAAAATAAAATACATGCATACATATGTGTGTATGTATATATATACACACATATATATATACATGCATATATATATATATACACACACACATATATATGATCCTATGCTTAAGTGACTTAGTATAGTAAGCATAAAATAAACTGACTTAAGCAGGGAAAAGAGAGTGATTTGTACATGTCAAAGAGGCAGTTCTTCACCTTGGGCATACTGGGAAAAGCAGAATGTTCTGCTCTTTCTCATAGATTTAAAAGGTGAATTTTGGCATCGGGGTTTTTTTCATAAAGCAGGAAAAAATCAACTAATTTCCACAGAGGTTCACTTTCTCACTCTGTAATACATAGAGGTGAGCGTATGTTTCTAGTTCCAGCTGTGCATGAGAAACCCAGGCAGGAGAGAGTACCCACAGTTCCTGCATCCAACTCCTGCCATTCTGGACTTCTTCCCCCAATCCTCTTTGGACTGTCAATGTTACTTAGCAAGTCCATTCTCACATATGTGCCTTGTAATCCTTGGGAGGTCCTGCTGACTTACAGTCTGCTTCAGACCAGTATTTCCCATTTTGAGACTTTGCCTCTTAAAATAAAGAGGAGAACTTATCTGCAAGAGAAAAGCAAAGTGTCCTGGCAGAGAATGAATTTTCTGTTCAGGAAAGCTGCATTTTTGAGATGACTGCAGCACCCAATTCGGTGAGAACAAAGTTGATAAGATGCTTTGTTTTAGTTTGTGGCCAGCCTGGTATGTGGGTCTCTAGCGGTCAAGGTCTTTAGCCGCTTCGAGTTAGCCACGTGCTAAAGCCAGGAGGAGCGAAAGCCAGGGCAGCTGACCTAAGCTGGCCAACAGAAGTATTCCATACCATAAATGTCATGCTCACTTTAAATTCACAGAATCACAGAATGTTAGGGGTTGGAAGGGCCCTCGAAGGATCATCTAGTCCACCCCCCCTGCCAGAGCAGGACCACCTAGAGTAGGTCACACGGGAATGCGTCCAGGTGGGTTTTGAATGTCTCCAGAGAAGGAGACTCCAAAACCTCTCTGGGCAGCCTGTTCCAGTGCTCTGTCACCTTCACAGTGAAAAAGTTTTTCCTTATGTTGATGTGGAACCTCCTGTGCTCCAGCTTGCACCTGTTGCCCCTTGTCCTATCGTTGGCCATCACCGAGAAGAGCCCGGCTCAATCCTCCTGACATTCGCCCTTTACATATTTATAAACATTAAATTGGAAAGTTTGCTGGGGATGGTCTCTTTTCCTCGATGGCAGCCATCCCTAGAGGGTCTCGTTTGTCATTCTGCTCCTGAGGCCTATTCTCCCATTTGTTGTGAGTTGTGCTTTCACGGGAGCTGTGGTGCTCCAGCATCCTCTGCTGGGAGTGTGCAGCTTGCGACCACTACATGGGCTGAGTATAACTTTGTGTACTTTATATTAGTATTAATATTAGTTTTCTTATTACTGTTTTATTAAATCTGTTTCCATTTCAACCCACAGGTCTCCTTTCTTTTTCCCGATTCCCTTTCTCCAGGGGGGGTCATTGGGTGATAGAACAACTGACTAAATGAAGACTCAAATCTACCAGGTACAGATTACTGAGGTTTTTATGAGCAGAGTTGATGAGTACCTTCTCTCTGGGACAAAGTTTCTGTATTTTGTATGGAGTGTTGCTTAAAGCTCCTAGCCTTTGCTCCAGACTTAATACGTTTTACCATAATATTTCAGTCAGTCAGGTGAAGGATTTAGTTATTTTAGCTCTGTGCTCTTCCATATAACCAGTGGTAATGGCAAGTAGACATAAGCATGCAACTGCATGTTTGACTGACACACTGACACCACTGCTATGCAGAAGGAAGGACATACTGGAAAGGTTTCCTACAGTGTAAAGGAACCAATAATTTAAATGCTAACATCATTGGAAACAATTTCAGGTCTATTTTTTGTCCTCTACAAAAAGAAGGTTGTCATATAGAATGCATGAAATACAGGGACACCAAGCAATTTACTTTCTGGAGGATACATTAAATTTAGATCCTTTCTTTTTTATCTAAATCTGTGTATTGAAAGGAGAGTGATCTTATGGGACAGAATTACATACTAACTTTTAAAAATTGTATCACGTCTCTCTTGTTTGTGGCTCTGAACCTCTCCCAGGTTCTTCACGAGAACCTGGAATACAACAGGAAAAACAATGGTGAGGTTGGTCCCATCCACTTGTTGAAGAGAAAGCAAGGCAGAGAGTAGAAAGTAGCTCAGCTATGGAAGTGTGTGATTTTGTGGGCAGTTGCTGGGTACAGTGTACGTGCAATTTAGTTCTTGCACACAGTCAGCTGTTGTGTCACCAGCTGTTTGGACTTTTGTGACATGTATAATTCTTTAAATAGCAAAAATGTTGCAGACAGTACTGTTTTTATTGTTGTCGACTTGTGCTTTATAAACTCCTCTACTTTCACCAGTCTGGTCCTTTATCACAAACACTACAGCCACAAGGTGAGTTCTGTCGACATAAATCTACCCATGCAAAGAAAAATATGTACATTAACACAACAGTCTTGCATTATGACTATGGTGGAGGGTCTTATCATGTATATTCTAGATTGTCTCTTACCTTTGCTGGCATTAGAAAAACAGTAGGTGAAGTTGGTGTTGGAAGTACATCATGCTGAGAGCAGTACTTAGTCTAAGCTGGAGAACAATGGATGAAAATAACGATGCATTGTCTATGGACAGTGACAAACTTGCACCTGTAATGTACATATTGTATGTTGATCATAGGGTCAGTTGGGGAAATAAATAAAAAAAAATACAGTGAGTAGGGTCATTTATCAGGAGTAGAAGTGTTTCAGAAGGTTTAGTCCTTACCAGAATAAAAACATCATTGGGTTTTAGGGAACTGATGTGTATAGGCTGTTGTGTTTCAGGACTGTTTTATCCTAGATGCTCTTTTTCCACATAAATTAGATTGCACATGAGATGTTTGACTGCTTATTATGGGTTTTAGAGAATCAAATTTCAGGCATAATGCTTGGTTAGCTCTGCTGAGGTGACAACTGATAGCTGACAGGCTTGAAAGCTCCTTCTAAGAGAGGTGGCGGCTGAAGGGCTGCAGCAAGGCACAGGGCGGCAAGAGGGGTGGCTGTGTGCAACAGCAGTGAGCAGCAGAGGAAGCAAGGGTTAGTTTTGTGGGAGAGGTTTTGGGTTCTTTTCTGTGGGTATAGAAGACTGTACACTTGAAGAGTTGCATTTAGTTTGTTTTATAGTGGGTATTTCTGTATACAAGAAGACATCAAAAAAAAAAGCATTCAACTATTCAGAAATGTTTTCAATGCCAATGATTTACAAAGATGTCTTTACTTTGTTAGTCATATGTGGTCCTTTAAACCTCTGTTGATTTAAGGCTGACTGGGTACATGCTTTGAGAGCCTCTAACTATTTGTCTAGGGAAGTAAAGAGACAAATAACAAGTTTTATCACCAAGGGTGAAAAATGATGATTTAGCAACTCGGGAGACTCACCAAAAAAACCCCTAAGCAATCTTCTGGCAGTCATTCTTAAATGAGGGTTAGGATTTTTTTTTTTTTTTTTTTTCACGTCCCTTGTCTTGCAAAGTTCTTGGCAGGAAAATAGTTGGTTTTGCACAGTTGGTTTACTTACCTAAAACTACTTTAACTGAATTAACTGATGAGGCATACGGGGTTACGGTAAAATGTAACCGGCTGAAATGCACATGAATCAGTCAGAGTAGCAGAACTGGGGGAGTAAAGGGCTTTCTGATCACGGAGTGAGGTCAGGGTGTCAACGAAATTGGGAATGAAACTCCTTAACACTGTGTCTTCAGTGTTAACGAGCAGGCATTACTTTATTCAGCTGGGGACATGAGCCAATACAACTATTGGTTGAGGTGTTTCAGGCAGGGGGTACATAGGTAGTTTTTTCCTTGGTAATGTAAGTATGCTTTTCTCACGTTCTTGTGAACAATTTCTATAGATAGTACTATTAATGTTGTATCTGGTTCCATTGTAATCCGCACATTCTCCAGCACACATTTCTGACCACTCTATAGGAACTACTCTCCAGGGAGATCCAGTTCCTCCTATCATTATTTGTGAGCAAATCCAACAATCAGTCATATTCACAGTCTCTGCTTTTAAGTTTTCATACATGTTGTCATGACCACTTCCGTCAATTATGGGATCTTCCCCTCCCACACTATACCCCAAAATGCATA